AACCAAAAGATAGAGTGGATGAATGGACAGGAAAACAAGACCCGTGCTTGTTGCCTGTAAGAGACTCACTTCAGATTAAGAGACACACAGAGCCTAAAAGGAAGGCGATAGAAAAAGATATTGCTTTGATGGACCTAGAAGGTATTTAAGTCAGAGACAGATAAACACTATATGATTTCACTTATATGCAGAATCTAAGGAATAAAAAGAACAAACTAATCAAAAACAGACTCACAAATATAGTGGACAATTTGGTGACAGACAGAGGGGAGGAGGGTTGGGGGACTGGGAGAATGGGGTGAAGGGTTAAAGAAGTACAAATTAGTAGCTGATGGATGGTCACGGGGATGGGGAGTACAGCATAGGGAATGCAGTTAGCATTAATATGTTGGCAAGGTGGAGGGTTGGGGAGGGAGCAATTGGGGGGATCGTTTTATGAACTATATAGATGTCTAACCAATATACTGTATACTTGAAACTAAAATAAATACATTTTTAAAAAATCAATGAAAAAAAGAAGTGTATCGTGCTAAAAGTTCATGCATCATCTGTGAGTAGCCCATCAGCTCAGACTTTAAGGGACTCTAGAGAAGGGCACTGAGTTTTAAACCACTTCTTCACTGACAGATGTGTTGCTATTGCTTTGCTCAAGAGGCCCTGTTTACTCATCAAGAAGGGAAAAGAGTACTGGATGATTTCTGCAGTCCCATCTGCTCTAGGTTTACAACGGAAATTTGACTGTCTTCTTTTCCTCATTGCAAATTTCTGTCATAAGCATAAAGTTGGTAACCACACAGAAAGAGCTTCTTGCATTGCCTACTCCTCAGCACCAGAGGTTCTGCCTTCATCCTGATTTTAGCCAAGGCAAACCTGCCTTTAAATCAAAGAGACCTGCATTAATGTTTCCATCCTTAGTTCTGCCTCTGGTGCTTCAAAATGTCAAAGTGCCTTAAGGTTTTGCCTTTCAAGGGAACCGTGTTCATATATATATAGTGTTCGCTTTGATCTAGCCCAACTTGAATCCCAAAATAGTGCCTCCCATCCCAGCCACAGGTTTTACATTTTTTTCAGACAGTAATAGAACACTGCTTTTTCCCTTTATCAGCCACTTTAGAGTTCAACCTCATAGTCTCTTTTAAAAAATTCCTTTAAAGTTACAGGATTGATTTTCTTAACGAATAGCAGAACCTACATATTTAGTTTTGTCTTTCAAAGTAGTCTAAAAGCTATTTTCTCACTGAAGTGAAAAGATTGGGGCCATAGTTCAAAGAAGCTTTAGAACCATGGAGGAAATAATCAGTGTTATAAAATCACAGGCCATGCTTCCTTTCACTAATTCCTCTTTCCCCTCCTCTTCCTCATTTTCTTTGTTTAACTGGAACTGGCTGTGACCCTGTCAGTCTCCTTTGCCATGAGAGTGAACAGATTACCTCCAAGATGACACTGGCCGAGGACCCCTGAAGTGCTGTTAATTGTAAAACCCTAGGAAGACGGCCGAGGGTGGCAGAGGATAACCATCTTCCTCACTAGCTAAAGCTGCGGAAAGTAATGGACCCCTGCCCCTAAATTACACATATGAAATCCCAAAAGATCACTCACAGTTTTGAAATATTATTGAAAATATTATTGTATAGCTGCCCACAGAAGGTATCATCTCTGTTAAACAGACTCACTCAACGTTGCTTTCAATGAACAGAGTGAAGATGACCACGTTTGTGAAGAAGGGACCATGGGAGCTCTTGGTCAAGACCTGTAATCACTTGGTTCCACAATTAGCACAGAATTCCACCTGTGCACCAACCCCGACAATGTTTGCTTATTAAGGAACCACAAAGTCAAAGGGGAAATAAAAACAAAATAGAATTCTTCAGAGCAGCCTCCTAGAACAGCAGGAGGACGTTTTTGGCCACTTTGGAGGGATAGGGTACCAAAGTTTGACAGCATGAACAGTTTCTAGCACAGGCCAGGGCATCCAGTAGGCACTTAATCACCCTGGTTTCCTGTCTAGCTCCAATGACAGTTCCCGCCAACACCAGTTCTAGAATTCTGACCAGCTAAACCAAAGTCAACAGATAATGCTAAAGCATGCTGACTTCAACCCCACCTGCCTGGGCACCTGGCCAGGTATCATCTCACCTTGGGGGCACCAGTCTCTCCCGGAGCCCAGGAAGACACACAGCTCCCTTCCCTGCAGCCTCCTCAGGGCAGACTGAGGAGGAATGGTCGACAGCATAGTTTAAACTGCTCATTCACCGTCTCCTCCTCTGTTTGTTGTGGCAACTGGGCTGGGAGGACAAGGAAAGAAGTCTGCCTCCCTGTGGGCCCGGGGAGCCCTCAGCCAGGTAGCTACTGAAGTTGTTCTGAACTGCAGCAGAGGCAGCCAATTTGGGAACCACCTGGCTGGTGCCTGGTGGGAAGGAGGAAAGGAAAGCCAAGTCAGGGACAGACATGCAAAAGCGGGTGGGAGCAGCTGGGAGGAGCACATCACTCAGAGAGGCTGCGTGAAAACATGGAAATGTCCTAGAGCCAAGAGTTGCTTTTATTGCCGTGTTTAAGGGGTTATAGGTTTAGAGTTTAGGACAATAATTACAAGGAGAAAAAGAATGAGGTGTTTCTTCTTTCACAGAAGACAGATATGGGAGAATCAAGAAAGGTGGAGCTGAGAGGCCCTGACACGGGTGAGAGAGGAAGGTTGTAGAGCAGGTAGGTGGCTATTGGGGCCCCTGGAGAGAGCTGGCTCCTGGGCAATCAGGGGCCCTGCTTTAGTGACAGAGCCATGGGAAGGAGGAGCTGACAGGAAGAAAATGCCCACACTTGGGATAGAACTGTCCTCAGAAGTGAGTGACCAACACCTCCCCGCCCCACTGCCCTAGAGCCCAGCCCACATCCCCTGCCCCCCAGAACCCCTCTCAGGCAGCCCACAGGGCCCACTCCTCAGCCTGGCCCCGGCTCCTGCAGTTCACCCCTTCTCCCTTCAGAAACTTGTTTCCCTCCAGCAGCAGATTTCACATACTTCTTCAGCAGGGAACAAATGCTTATGGTAAATAGTAAACCCATTCTCTCAAAGGTACAAATGACCTGTCTCTGAGCTCTCTATGTGCTACGCTTCCAGGAGAACTATTAATTTGTAAACTAAAGGTTAGTTTACAAATTAATACAAAGGAAATCAACTCGTATGATGGAATTTCAGCAGAAAGACATTCAGAACAAAAGGTCCTTATACATCTCTTAAATCAAACAGGAGACTTGAGGGTGGAGCCCCTCGGTCTAGGGTGATGGTTCCCCCACACCTTGATGCATACTTTGACGAGGAAATGGGAGTGACTGGGCCCTCAGAGGCGGGGTGGGATGGGGTGGAATCCCCACCCTAGTACAGTCCACAGCTAGATGTTCTTTTCCACCTGGAGCTTCAGCAGAAAGCTGATCCCAAAATGCCAGATCGTCTGCTCCCAGCTGTTTCTGGGAATCTGGCCACACAACCAATGGGAGCTAAAGCAAGATGGAATTTCTATAAGTAACAGTTCCTGTGTCTTTTGTGGGCTAAGTCAGTCAGTCCCAACAGAACTTCTCCTGACCTACCAAGCTCGGCCCATCTGCTGCCACCCTCTTCAAGGATTCTTTACCCTTGGTGAGGGCTCAGGCATACCTTTGGCTCTGAGTTCCTTCATCTTGACTCTACCTCCAGCTTAAGCACACCTGGCACCTCATCCTTACCAGTTACCCTTCCACTTGCTGCCAGCAAGAGGAGCCTCCTTGCCTGCTGTTCCTCTTGTGCTTTAGGCCCACAACCTGTCCTGTGCCCACACAAGGCCCTGACCACTCCATTATGTTTGTTCTTTTGCCTGGCTGATTAGGCCACTCCTGCCTATAATCCTTTCATAACTCAACCTGTACCAAGGACTTCTACTATGAAGACTTGAAGTTACTCACAAGGAAATGTAAAAGTAAGCTGTTGATTATTTAATAATTTAAACTGTATAAAAACTGATCACACACTTGCAAAATGTAAGCTAACTTTGCACCCCTTAACTTTGCAACCCTATCGAGCATCACATCTATCCCAAAGTTCCCTAACATTCATGGCAAAAAAACAAACAGGGTGGGTCACATAATTCTCCTTGCCAGTCAAGGATGTAAAACCACTTCATCAGAAATAGAACCCTCCAGTGCTAATTCCTACAGAGAGGACTGAACATCACGATGGACAATTCCGCCCATAGGGTTTTCACAAAGAAATGTTCACAATTCGGTCGTCTTTCAATGTCAACATTTAATAAAAGCAAGGAAAATATTAAAAACATGACTCAGGATTTTTGCAGGGAGCTAAAGCAATGTGGCTTGGGCAGGAGTCTGGCTGCTAAACACAAGACACAGTGGTCCTCAGTGGAAAGCTGTGCTGCCCTCACCACTCACTCTGTGGAGAAGACGGGGGACAGAAAGGTGGGAGGAGGGGCAGTACTGGAAGGTGCAGTGAGATTACTGATTATCATAATGAATGAGGACAGAAGAAGTGGGCAAAGATGCTTAATATCCTACATTAAACAGAATGTTCACTATAAAAAACTGTCTCGTTTAAAATGCTAATAGTGCCCCTGTTGAGAAACACTGGAAGAGGAATCAGTAATTAGCATGACTCTTCTAATGCCTGATCTTAAATACCAATTAAGTCTTCACAGAGAGTTGACAGCAGTGATCACAAGAATGTCTGCTCTGGGAAATACAGATGAAGGGGGAATGCCAGGCTTCTAATGTGTAAGTCATGTTGGTAGTGACATGTATATTATCTTATGAAGAGGTTGGGGCCTGACGGGTACTCTTGGCTAGACCGAGAGCTGGACAATGGTGAGCTGTAAGTATATCCCTGGAAAGAACTGACCTCTCCTATTTCTTATTTCTTCATATATGTAAATGAGGACACAGCTGGGATACCAAAACTGCATATCAACATATCACAGGAGAAACTATTTTAGTCTAAAGCAGTGGTTCCCAACTAGCAGCACCTGAGAACTTGTTAGACCTTCTCCAGACTCTGAGAAGTAGGGAGATGTTGCTGGCAAATGATCAGAGGTGGAGAGCTTCAAGAGGGAAGACCTAAGTAAGGAGAAATGAGAAAGAAGAATAAATTATCAGAGGCCAATCTAAGTCTCAAGTTTGATTAATCATCCTAGAAAGCGTTTGTTTTAAATTTAATTTGTATTTCTCTTTGAATAGCCAACACATATACATGGTTCAAAATTCAAATGATACAAAGGGGTATGCAGTAAAAGGTCTTTCATCTGCCCTTGTTCCTAGGTACCCAGCTCCAACTTCCCTTCCTCAGAGTCAGCTATGTTACCAGTGTCTTCTAGGGATATGTTATAAACACGTTTTTATCCCCACTTTAACTTAAATACAAATGATAACATATTATATAAACTGTTCCATATCTTGCTTTTTCACTTTATGTATTTCAAGGATTTTTCCACTTCGGAAACATCAAGAATCCCCTAGAGGACGTCTGGGAACATTCAACACCTCAGAGTTATGCACATCTTCCCTGCAAGGAAGGAGCATCTGCTTGGCCATTATATGATTCTTGTGGATTTCTTAGTGACCACCCCCACCCCAGTAGGGAAATGGTCCTAAAATTCTTGGTTTGGATAACTCTCCACAGGCCTGACATGAATGTTGTCTTATCACAGAAAGAAACTCTCAAGTCATTAAAATCCAACACTAACATTACCAGATAACACCAGCACCCAGTGGGTCAGGTATCTTAAGCAAGATACACAGCAGAGGGGAGCTTGAACACTGGAGAGAATTCAAACAAACGAGGACTTTGAAAGTTTTTATCTTTAAGACTGAGGATGCTAAATTGCATTCGATTTATAAAAGTTAACAAAATATATGAAAAGATAAAGACAGGAACTAGCTAGGAACATTTAATACAAGTCAGTTTTCAACACTCACATATATAACACAGAATACAAGAATATATATAATGTTATCCTCTACCAGTTTGTTATAGTAGCATTTCCTTCAGAATTACTTTTTGTTGTGTCCTTCAGCACTATCAGTAAGATGTCTTGTCCTTCTTTGATTCCTGCCAGGTTTTCATCAATGTAGCCTTTGAACCTAAAGTGTGAAGGTTTCTTTTTAATAACAGCTTTATTGAGATATAATTCACATACCATATAATTCGCCCATTTAACATGTACAATTTTTTTAGTATAGCCACAGAGTTGTGCAGACATCACCTCAGTGCATTTTAGAACATTTTCATTATCCCAAAAGAAATCCTGTGCCCATTCACAGTTACTGCCCATAATTCCCAAGTCTTCCAGCTCTAGGCAACCACCAATCTACTTTCTGTTTCTGTGAGTGAAGGATACTTCAATAGACTAGTCAGCAGACTCAACACAACTGAAGAAACAATATCAGTGATCTTAAAGACAAGTCAACAAAATTGGTCCAAACCAAAACACAAAGAAAAATTGTGGGGAGTGAGAAGAATAAAGCATCTAAGAGCTATGGAAACTATCAAATGGTCTAGCATATGTGTAATTGGAATCCTAGAAAGAGAAGAAACAGAGATTAAGGAAGAAGAAATAATATCCAAGAGTTTTCTAAAACTTATGAAATACATCAAATCATGGGTCTAAGAAGTCCAGAGAATTCCAAAAAGAACAAAACAAGCAAACACACCTAGACATATCATATTCAAACTGCTGAAAATCTTAAAGGCAGTCAGAGACAGAGAGAAACATGTTACAGAGGAAGAAAGATCAGTACAAGCACATTTCTCATTTGAAATGATGCAAACCAGAAAACAACAAAACAATATCTTGAAAATGTCTTTAAAAAAAACATCAACCCAGAATTCCACACTCATGAAAATATCTCTTGAAAACAAAAGAGAAATAAGAACTTTTTAAAATAAATGAAACCTGTGCGAATTCAATACCAGTAGACTTGGACTATAAGAACTGTTCAAATTAGTTATTCAGGAAAAAGGAATATACCAGACAGAACTTGGATATAAATAAACTAAAATCTCTAAAATGGTTAAAATGAAGTAAATATAAAAGACATTAAAATTTTTTCTTAATTGCTCTAAAAGATAATTGACTGTTTAAAGTAAAAATAGTAGCAATGTATTGTGGGTTTGTAGGATATATATAAATAAATATATGACGACAACAACAGTATAAAAATTGGGAGGGAAGAAATTAGCGTATAATGTTCTAAGGTTTTTATGCTATACGTGAAATGTCACATTATTATTTGAAGGTAGACTGCTTAAAGATGCATGTTGTAAGCCCTAGAACAAACACTATAATTTTTAAAAACATATATAAATAATAAACCACATAATAATAAAATAATAAAGACTCTCGATATAGAGGCAGGCAGAAAAAGAAGATAAAAAGAACAAAAAAGAGATGAAAAAAAATCTAGATGGCAGATTTTATTCTGACCATATTGATAATTACATTAAATGTAAATGGTCAAACATACCAGTTAAAGATTGTCAAGAATGGATAAAAAGCAAGACCTAATTATATGTTGTCTACAAAAATTCCACTTTAAATATAAAAACAAAGATAGATTAAAAATTGTAGGATAAAAAAGATATAAATGCAAGCACTAATAAAAAGAAAAATTAAATGGCTATATTAACAGCAGACAAAGTAAATTTCAGAATTAGGTATCATATTAACAGAGATAAAGAATGTAATTTCATAATGATGAAAAGGTCACTAAGTATAACACTCTTAAATGTGTATGTACCTAACAACAAAGTCCCAAAATACATTATTCAAAAACTCTTAGAACTGAAAGGATAACTAGGTAAATTCACTCCCCTTATGTTAATCGATAAAACAAGAATACAGAAAATAAGTAAGGGTATAGAAGAGCTGAACATCACTATCAACCAACTCAACTGAATTGACACTACACCAAACAAGACAGAATACACATTCTTTTCAAGTGCAAATAAAACATTCGCCAAGATAAACCATATTCTGGGCTGCCAAACACATTTGAATCAATTAAAAAATAAAATCATATAGAGATGTTCTAGGACCATAATAAAATTAAAATAGAAGTTCATAACAGGAAGATATCTGAAAAATTCCTCAAATATTTAGAGGCTAAACAGTACACTTTTAAATAACTCATTCATCAAAGAGGAAGTCACAAGAATATTAAAATACATTTCAAATTGAATGATATGAAAACATTATGTGTTAAATTTGGGGAGATGCAGCTAAAGCAGCTAAAGGTTAGGAGGAAATTTATAGCATTAAATGCTAATATTAGAAAAAGAAGAAAAGCCTCAAATGAATGGTTTAACCTTATACTTTAGAAAATTACAAAAAGAACAAATTAAATCTAAATCAATCAGAAGGAAATAACAAAGATAAAAGCAGAAATCAATGAAATTTAAAGAGGAAAAAACAAAGTTTGTTCTTTGAAGAGATCAATAAAATTGATGAGCCTATTCCCAGGCTGATCAGGGGGGAAAAAAAGATGCAAATTAAAATTGTCAGGAATGAAAGAGGAGATATTACTAATGTCCCACCGACATTAAAAAGATAAGTAAATATTATTAATGATTCTAGGCCCATAATTTTTTTTCAATTACAGCTGACATTCAATATTATTTTATATTAGTTTCAGGTGTACAGCATAATGGTTAGACATAATTTAGGAAGTGATTCTCCTGATAAGTCTAGTACTCACCTGGCACTATATAGTTATAATATTATTGACTGTATTTCCTATGCTGTCCTTTATATTCTGTGACTATTTTGTAACTACCAATTTGTACTTCTTATCCCTTCACTTTTTTCACCCAGCCCCCCAACTCTCTGCCAGCTAGTAACCATTAGTTTGTTCCATCTATGAGTCTGTTTCCGTTATGTTTGTTCATTTATTTTGTTCTTTAGATTCCATATATAAGTGAGATCATATGGTCTTTGTCTTTCTCTGACTTATTCACTTAGCACAATACCCTCTAGGTCCATACATGTTATCACAGATGGTTAAGATTTCATTCTCTTTTATGGTCAAATAATATTCCATTGTATAAATGTACCACCTCGTCTTTATCCAATCATCTGTTGATGGACACTTAGGGTGCTTCCATATCTTGGCTATTGTAAAGAATGCTGCAATGAACATAGGGGTACATATATTTTTTTCAAATTAGTGTTTTGGATTTCTTTGGATAAATACCCAGAAGTGGAATTCCTGGGTTATAAGGTACTTCTATTTGTCTTTCTTTGAGGGACCTCCAAACTGTTTTCCATAGTGGCTGCACCAATCTGTAATCCCATCAACAGTGCATGAGGGTTCCCTTTACACCACATTCTCGCCAACACTTGTTTGTTGATTTATTGATAATGGCCATTCTGACAGGTATGAGGTGATATCTCCTTGTGGTTTTAATTTGCATTTCTCTGATGATTAGTGACACGGAACATCTTTTCATGTCTATTGGCCATCCATAGGCCTCCTTGGAGAAATATCTATTCATGTCTTCTGTTCATTTTTTAATCAGATTTGTGTGTGTGTGTGTGTGTGTGTAGTTGTATGAATTCTTTATTTAGATATTAACCTCTTATCGGATATATCATTGGTGAATATCTTCTCCCATTCGCTAGGTTGACTTTTCATTTTGTTGGTTTCCTTTGCTTGCAAAAACATATTATTTTTATTTTTTCTTGATTAATTTTTGTTTAATTACAGAATAAGATTTGATTTATTTTTACTTATATCATTGGAGCATTTAGTTTGTTAAAAAATTGTGCTGGCAGTAAGCATAAGATATTTCTAACTATGGGCGGTAAACATATATATACACATATGTGTGTGTGTGTGTGTGTGTGTGTGTGTGTGTGTATGACTCATTGTTAAGTTGTACACTTGAAACTTATTGGATTTTGATAATCAATGTCACCATAATAAATTTTAAAAAGAGTGATAGAAATAAAAACATTTTAGTTTGATGTCATCCCATTTGTTTGTTTGCTTGCTTGTTTCTCTTGCCCAAGAAGATACATCAGAAAAAAATATTATTAACAGCAATGTCAGAGAGTTTACTGCTTATGTTTTCTTCTGGGAGTTTTATAGTTTGGGGTCTTACATTTAAGTCTTTAGTTCATTTTGAGTGTATATTTGACTATGATATATAAGAAAGTGGTCTGGTTTAATCTTTTTTTGCATATATGTTTTCCCAACACCACTTTTTAAAGACATTGTCCTTACCCAATTCTATATTCTTGCTTCCTCTATCATAGATTAACTGACTATATAGGTATGCATTTATTTCTGGGCTCTCTATTTTTTTCCACTGGTCTATGTGTCTGTTTTTATGCTGGTACCATATCATTTTGATTACTATAGCTTCGTAGTATATTTGATATCAGGTAGCATAATATTTCCAACTTTGCTCTTCTTTCTCAAGATTTGCTGTGGCTATTTTGGGATCTTTTATGGTTCTACATAAATTTTAGAATAATTTGTTCTAGTTCTGTAAAAAATGTCATCTGTATTTTGATAGGGATTGTACTGAATCTATAGATTGCTTTGAGTAGTATGAACATTTTAATGACGTTAATTCTTCCTATCCATGAGCATGGTATGTTTCCATTTATTTGTATCTTCTTCGATTTCTTTCTTCAATGTTTTATAATTTTCCAAGTACAGGTCTTTAACTTCCTTGGTTAATTTTATTCCTAGTTATTTTTTTTTTTATGAAATTGTAAATGGGATTGTTTTCTTAATTTTTTTCTTATAGTTAGTTATTGTATAAAAATGCAACCAATTTCTGACTACTAATTTTATATCCTGCTACTTTACTGAATTTATTTATCAGTTCTAATAGTTTTTCATAGAATTTTTAGTGTTCTCTCTATATAGTATCATGTCATCTGAAAATAATGACAGTTTTACTTCTTCCTTTCCTATTTGGATACCTTTTATTTCTTTTTCTCGTCTGATTGCTGTAGCTAGGACTTCCAATACTATGCTGAATAAAAGTGGTGAAAGTGAAAATTCTTGTCTTATTTCTGATCTCAATGAATACACTACTAGCTATGGGTTTGTCATATATGGCCTTTATTATG